GCCGACAAGAAAGGTGGGGACAGGCTTTTTAGCGGGGCCTGCGGCGACAGGACAAGGGGGAATGGTTTTAAACTGAAAGAGGGGAGATTCAGACTGGACAGAAGGAAGAAATTGTTTGTGCTGAGGGTGGTGAGGCACTGGCCCAGGTTGCCCAGAGCGGTGGGAGATGGCCCATCCCTGGACACACTCAAGGCCAGGTTGGATGGGGCTCTGAGCACCCTGGTCTGGGTGAAGATGTCCCTGCCCATGGCAGGGGTGGGACATGGTGGCCTTTGGAGGTCCCTTCCATCCCAAACCATTCCACAATGGATGAGGAGCAGCCGGACAGTAAATTCCCCACAATCCCAGGGAACAGAGCAGTTTCCAGCACCCTTCCCAATGCCTTTTCCACCTTCTTGCCCAGATGACTGCTCAGATGAAGATTCCTTTGAAGACTTTGACGAGGAAGCATATTACGCAGCCCTGGGAACCCGCCCGGCCCTCAACATGGATGAACTGGATTCATCCTACCAGTATGTGATCGATCTCTTCTCTGTCTGCACCAGCGAGGACCCCAAGAAGCGTCCCTCAGCCGCGTGCATCGTGGAAGCCTTGGAGGCGACGATGTCCCAGGAGTAAAAGCATCCGAGCTCCTGCGCTGTCCCCGAGGGGACATCGGACTGGCCCCGAGCTCCACGGCAAGGGTGCAGGAGCTCAGGGATTGAATTTAAAAGAGTTAGAAGCCTTCTGGTTTGTGAAACCTGTTCTGTCTGCTTAAAACCAGAGCCTAAACTTGTTCAGCACTAACCCCTGGTTTGAGGAGGTTGCTCTAGATGGCTTCTAGATCTCTCTCCAAGCCGCATTTAGATCCTAAATAAGCTACAGGCTCTGTGCTGTGCTTTCAGTCGTCATGTTACAGCTGCTTTAAAACCCTTCCTTCCTTATTTGTGTGGAAATAAAAATATTTTTTTGTTCTTTATTTTCAGTGTAAAAGCAGTGCTTTTCCTTTTCCTAAGCACGTGTGTCCCTGCCAGGTATGTACGAGCTTTGGTGAGAGCTCTTGTGGAAAGTATTTGAGTTCCTGAGGTGGCTGGGTAACAGGCGGAGGGAGAGCGGCTGCAAACTCAGGGAGGAGGGCTCCTGCCCCCACAGGGTGTTACACAGACTCCTACCATGGTGACAAAGGCCGCAGGGTTCAGAAAAGGCTGGGGGCTGGGCGCAGAGAGCGGTGGTGAATGGAGTCAAATCCAGTTGGCGGCCGGTCACCAGTGCTGTTCCCCAGGGCTCAGTGCTGGGGCCGGTCCTGTTCAATATCTTTATCGATGATCCGGAGGAGGGGACCGAGGGCACCCTCAGTCAGTTTGCAGGGGACACCAAGCTGGGCGGGAGCGTTGATCTGCTGGGGGGCAGGGAGGCTCTGCAGAGGGCCCTGGCCAGGCTGGGTCGATGGGCCCAGGCACTGGGTGAGGGTCAGCAAGGCTCAGGGCCGGGTCCTGCACTGGGGGCACAACAACCCCAGGCACCGCTGCAGGCGTGGGGAGGAGCGGCTGGGAGCTGCCCGGCGGGAAAGGGCCTGG